AGGATCCGCCTCACCAACACCATGGAATTGAGCAGGATCCGCTCACCAACACCATGGAATGAGCAGGATCCGCCTCACCAACACCATGGAATGAGCAGGATCCGCCTCACCAACACCATGGAATGAGCAGGATCCGCCTCACCAAAACCATGGAATGAGTAGGATCCGCCTCACCAACACCATGGAATGAGCAGGATCCGCCTCACCAACACCATGGAATGGAGTCATGGAATCCGCCTCACCAACACCATGGAATGAGCAGGATCCGCCTCACCAACACCATGGAATGAACAAAATCCACTTCACCAACACCATGGAATGAACAAAATCCACTTCACCAACACCATGGAATGAACAAAATCCACTTCACCAACACCATGGAATGAACAAAATCCACTTCACCAACACCATGAAATGAACAAAATCCACTTCACCAACACCATGAAATGAACAAAATCCACTTCACCAACACCATGGAATGAACAAAATCCATTTCACCAACACCATGAAATGAACAAAATCCACTTCACCAACACCATGAAATGAACAAAATCCACTTCACCAACACCATGGAATGAACAAAATCCATTTCACCAACACCATGGAATGAACAAAATCTACTTCACCAAGCACCTCAACACCACGGAACACATCAATGGAATGTGTAAATTACCTCAATCCATTGCTCACTTTATCCATGATATACTATAAGATAAACATAGGCCTCGTACTGTGACCCTGGCCCCACCCCTCCTTACTTACAAAAATACCTGACCTCACCTTTATTCCTCACCTCACCTCACCTTTATTCCTCACCTCACCTCACCTCACCTCTGACCTGTCTTCCTCCAAGCTTGATCTCAGAGTACACCACACACACACACACACACACACAATCTGGAGTGATGTAGTGGAGACAGGATCCATAGATAGCTTTAAGAAGAGGTTCAATATAGCTCATGCAGAAGGGAAAGAGTGGACTTAGTAGCAACTAGCGAAGAGGTTGGGCCAGAGGCTATGAATCGACCCCTGCAACCACAAATAGGCGAGTACACAAAATGAAGGACTTGAACAGCGTACCACAGCACCTCGCCTGTAAACATTAATCACGTGGCTATGGCGACATATACTCTTATCATACCTCAATGATTCTCGCAAAGCCATTTTTATATACATATAGCAAAAAAAAAAAATGGGTACAGCGGCAATGTGCTGCTACCTTATTCTATGAGAGTTACACAGCGGGAATAAAAGCAATGTTTCCCTGTCTGCCAAAGTAGGGAAAGGAGGGAGTGCCAAGGAAAAGGGAAGGCCACCTGTTCCATTGATACTGGAGGCTTCCGGTGCCATGGAGGTCGGGGATGGGGAGGGAAAGGAAGGTGTGGAGAGAGGCAAGGGCATGCGGAAGGAAAGTAGGAAACGGGAGAAGGCGGGGAACGTAAGGGAGTGGGCAGTGGGAAAAGACTAGGATAGCAGAAAGACAGAAAAGTGTTATAGGGAAGGAAGGAGAGAGGGAGGGAATAGGAAACCTGTTGATGGGAAAAAGGTATATGGGGACTGGAAAGATGTAAGAGGGGGGGGGAGTTGGAAAGAAGTAAGAATACTGGAAGGTAAGAATGGGGAAGGAATAAGAAAAAAAGGGTAATGAATGAAAGAGATGGAGAAAGGCCATTAAATGTTAAATAAAAAAAGAGGGAGTAGAAGAAACTAAAAGAAAAAAATAAAAATTACAAAAGCAATAGTGAGGTAACATTCCAAGGAATACAATAAAGGCGTGGAGAGTGAAGATAACAACAAGTCAAGAGAATGGAAGGCGATGAGTTGCGGAAGACGAAGCCAAGAGGAGGAGAAGAGTAAAAGGAGGAGGAGAGGGGGAAGGGGGGGTGAGGATGAGAGAGCAGCGAGTATAAGTGCTGATGAAGACATAACGGCAGGGTTACTGGAGCAAAATGTGCAATATGTACTGCAGCATTACATGCTATCACAACATCACACACACACAATCACACACACCAACACACACACCACAACATACACATGCAGCCAACACACCACACACACACCACACCAACATACACACACACACAACACACACACACACACACACACACACACACACACACACACACACACACACACACACGTACACAAGGCATTCGGGAATTTCAAGAGACAGACCAGACCTTGCATACAACATATGTCAGAGGTACGCGGTATTTAACATCAGCCTGAAGCACACACCTGATCTGAGGTGAGAAGCTTCAGAGATTAGTTACGAGATCAGTTTTGGAACTTCGGGAAATGGTTTTGTGAGGAAAGACTGAAAGAAGTACAGCAGACATTCGAGATCAAGACACCAATTTCCTATTGATATAAAAAATTGTGTTATTATTTTTAATCAGACATGCACTCGAAACTACATTTTAAGGGGAGGATTGGGCGAAATCTTAATATTTTGAGATGAAAAATATAAATTTCCTTTTTTTTTCATGTATCTGAAGAAATTTTTGGCATTTATAGGAAAGCCATAATCACTACGTACACGATACTCAGGATTCAAATCAGAGATACAAATTAGTCACAAGGTTAGGAAATGCTTCTTTAGTCTGAGGGTAGTTAGAAAGTGAAACAATTTAGATGAGGATGTGGTCTTCCTCTTGGGTGGAGGTAGATTCTACATATACCTTTAAGAATCTATGAGGTCAGTAATTTTGCGAGCCAAGACTCAACCGCCATAACCTTAACTAGTGAGTAGAGCTAAAGTTAATAAACACAAACACAGTGACACGTTCACACACACACACACACACACACACACACACACACACACACACACACACACACACACACACACACACACACACACATACACTAAGCTAAGGGGCATGCCCTACGAGGAGAGGTTAAAGGAAATCTACCTGAGATAGGGGGGGATATGATAACGACATATAAAATACTGAGAGGAATCGACAAGGTGAACAGAGACAGGATGTTCCAGAGATGGGACACAGCAACAAGGGGTCACAGTTGTAAGTTGAAGACTCAGATGAATCACAGGGATATTAGGAAGTATTTCTTCAGTCACAGAGTTGTCAGGAAGTGGAATAGTCTGGGAAGTGATGTAGTGAGAGGCAGGATCCATACATAGCTTTAAGAAGAGGTACGATAAAGCTCATGGAGCAGGAATGGTGACCCAGTAGCGACAAGTGAAGAGGCGGGGCCAGGAGCTATGAATCGACCCCTGCAACCACAACTAGGTGAGTTCAACTAGGTGAGTACACACACACACACACACACAACCTACGGATAGCGTTCCGATACCTCAGTAAGGATTCGTTTAAGACTCTGTATACCATCTACGTCAGGCCCATACTGGAGTATGCAGCACCAGTTTGGAATCCACACCTAGTCAAGCACGTCAAGAAATTAGAGAAAGTGCAAAGGTTTGCAACAAGACTAGTCCCAGAGCTACGGGGATTGTCCTATGAAGAAAGGTTGAGGGAAATCGGCCTGACGACACTGGAGGACAGGAGGGTCAGGGGAGACATGATAACGACATATAAAATACTGCGCGGAATAGACGAGGTGGACAAAGACGGGATGTTCCAGAGATGGGCACAGACAAAGAGGTCACAATTGGAAGTTGAAGATTCAGATGAATCAAAGGGATGTTAGGAAGTATTTCTTCAGTCATAGAGTAGTCAGGCCATGGAATAGCCTAGAAAGTGATGTAGTGGAGGCAGGAACCATACATAGTTTTAAAGCGAGGTATGATAGAGCTCATGGGGCAGGGAGAGAGAGGACCTAGTAGCAATCAGCGAAGAGGCGGGGCCAGGAGCTGTGAATCGACCCCTGCAACCACAAATAGGTGAGTACAAATAGGTGAGTACTCACACACACACACACACACACACATAGAGGGTTGGTACTAGAAACTAAAAAGGTCTTGCCCCTCTAATCCTTACCATACAGCTGTGACACCAGTCAAGTTGGAAGGACACACGATACACCTTAATTAATGAAACCAGATTATATTTTATCAAAACAGGCTGCGAAAATACGTTATAAGCCATCATTAAAAGTTCACAACACATTACCAAGACCCAGATTCGTTGATAACTTGACAACTGCACGTGAATAAGATACAAGTACCTTTAACATCCGGTAACTAACGAACTAACGCGTACTGTAGGAAAGATCCAGTTAGTGATGTAATAACAACGAAGACGGAACACCACGAGTATTGTTCTCTAGTATAACTACATATAGGTAATCATACAACTACGATGGCGCTGACAGCCGCCCACCTGAAAGTCTGCACCAGTTAACACCATGAAATGAGTGATTCTCTCTCAAGTGACGAAGGAGGCCTTGATGGTGGGTGTGTGTGTGTGTGTGTGTGTGTGTGTGTGTGTGTGTGTGTGTGTGTGTGTGTGTGTGTGTGTGTGTGTGTGTGTGTGTGTGTGTGTGTGTGTGTGTGTGTGTGTGTGTAAGCACATGTGTTCTAGTAAGACACCAAACACCCTGACCAAAACAGGTGTTATCGCTCCTAGTGCCACAGAGTGACAGTAAACAAATCACAGCTAAATAAATACAATAATCTGCAAAATGAAGAACTTAATTACTACTTTTGGAATTTGTATTCGTGAAATACAATATACAAAAAATGCTATATAACTGCTTCTAAAGACAATTTTAATCCTGAATTAGAAAACGAAAAGTGAGCACAAAATAAGACATGATTAAATGTTTTCTGAAATAAAATAAAAGCGAATATAATTTTTTTCCCAATTCCTGAAACAAATTAGAACATGAGCTCTACTCTGCATAATTATTATACTTTAAAATAATTATAACAATTTTAAGAAAAAATCTAATAACTAGTGTTGACTGTGTTACAGTGAGAAAAGTGAAGGGAGATTATAGAAGATATTAGTGACGTGGGTGAGGGTTGCTTGCAATACCTTCCGGGAATTAGTAAAGTGAAATCTTTGACTTACCAGGCGGTGTGTGACGTCCTTCCTCTTCAGATTCTTCCACTTTGAAGATGTCGCCGATATCCTGCTGAGTGCCGCCCTTACCCTCGGCGTGTCGCTGGATCTGGTGCAGCTGCTCCATCTGTAGATGGCGCATGGAGCGGATGTGGTGAAGCATTTGTAGCTTGGCTCGCGTGGCGAAGTTACAGAGGGTGCAGGTGTAGAGACGTCGGTCCTCAGATATAGTGTGTTCCGCTGCGCACAGGTGGCGGAAGAGGACATTGAGCACCTCGTGTCTCTGGTGCGCGGCGTGTAGCTGCAACTTATGCACGCTGTTGGTGTAATACTCGCACAGGTTACACCGCACGTGCATAGGGTTGGTGTTAGACAGGTACTTGAGCTTCCATTCGTTCCGCGGGCCGCCCTCCAAGATGTGGTTGACATGCTGCAGTTTCTGCAGGTGCTTGTCCGTCTTACAGTGCAGCTGGAAGTTGGCTTTGAGGTTGGTCTTGTACGAACACAGCTTGCAGATGTAATTCCCCGCTACTACCAGTAAGACCTCATTCTCGTTGATCTTGGAGCGGTCGAGCTGCAAGTGGAGAGTGAGCTGCTCCAGGGAGTCGGTGGAGAAGACAGAACACACACAGCAGGTGAAGGCGTGGCGAGGGTTGGGTGGTACGGGTTCCGGCGGAGGCTCCAGTGACTCAGGATTTAGACCCAAGTCGAAATGAGGGCCGGGGTGTTCGCCGTGTCCTGGAGGGCCCCCATGACCCAAGGGTCCGCCGTGTCCGGGAGGGACCCCAGGGCCCATAGGGCCACCAGGGGGTAACTGGCCACCTGACATCATTTGGATAAGCAGCGCCTGGTTATAGGCGAGGTCCGCCAAGGCTGCCTCAGGCAAGTGAGGCTTCTCTCCTACACCTAAGCTGGCCATCATAGCGGCTGCAGCGGCCGGGTTACCAGCGTACTGCAACAAGGCCATGTGGTCGAGCTGGCTGCCGCCGCCTCCGCCACCCTGCAGAGCACTCAGCTGCTGCATATGCTTGACGTTCTGCTGCAGCACCATCATGTTGTGAGTATGCTTCTCGCTTGTCATGTGGATACGAAGATTACGTGCAACATTGGTCTCGTAGTTACAAACGTCGCAGCGCCACACAGGCTTGGGCTTCTGCTGTTGCTGCTGCTGCGTCGGCGCCGGGGTGGTGGACGGCGTGGGGGTCTTAGGCGCAGAATAAATACTACCCGATGGACTCTGTTGTTGAGACGTCAACGACTGTGAGCCCATAGAGCCGTCCATGTTGGGCATGCCACCGTTCTGCAGCTCTTGCATGTTGTTTAAGTGCTTATCGCTCTGCATGTGTATGGAGAGATTGCCTTTGGTAGTTGTGGAGTAGTTGCAGACCTCGCAGCGATAGGGTTTGTAGCCACAGGTGTAGGTCTCTCCTCGGGCGAGTCTCGGGTGCGCCTGGTTAGTGAGGCAGTAAATACAAGTAGACTCGTTCTCCGGGTGCTTCTCTTTCATGTGGATCTCCAGCGTCTCCTGGTACTTGTAATGCCAGTTACACTTGGGACATTTGAGCGTCTTGCAGGAATTTCGGGAATGCATGAACGCCATCTGGCCGCCCAGCTGGCGCGACTGCTGCAGGATGAGGTCACACTTCTCGCAACTTACACCCTGAGGCCGCCCGTTCATGTGCTCGGGGCACGCGCCGATGATGGTTCCTGTGAGCTGTGCCACTGGGGACTGCAGCGGCGAGAAGCTCGTGGGGGACATCGAAGTCACTGGGGACACCGACGCCCGCCCGTTGGCGCCCAGGGCTGAGATGGGGGACTTGCGACTTAGATCTGGCGTCCGTGCAGCAGCCGGGTGCTGAGGGGCAGCGAAAGGATCAGACCGTTGTTGCTGTTGGTGCTGATGATGCTGTTGTTGCTGCTGCTGTTGTTGGTGTTGTTGTTGCTGATGTTGTTGCTGCTGCTGCTGCTGCTGGTGCTGCTGACGGACAAGCTCATAAAAGTCAGGCATTTCACGTTTGACAGCATTGGTACGTTCATCGTCCGTGAGGTCGTGGTGGGCATCGTTGTTGTTATTGTGCACAGCCCTTGCGGGTGAGGGCTGCGGGCTGGGGGAGGTGCCGCTGGGGGCCCCGGAGGGCAACAGGGTGGCCAGCGCGCCCCCGTGCTGGGTACTGCTGCTGCCGCTGCTGCAGTTGTTGCTACCACTGCTGCTGCTGCTGCCGCCGGCACCCGGGGGCGTGACTGGCTCTAGGAACGACACTCGCGGCTCCTTCTCCCGACCCGCGCACTGGATGATGGCCGAGGCGTTCTTGGCCGCCAAAAGGTCCCTCTCCTCATCCAGTAGCACTACACTATGGTCGCCCATCGCATGGGCAATAAAAGATCTAACATATCCAAAAGACAACTTACATACAAAACACATCAATATAGGTTTAACTGGAACTTGCGAGTAGTCTAATAATGGAAGTTTGGTTTTCTCACTGCAACTATCATTTTTGCTATCACTGTCCTTACATTCATTTTCACTGTCTTTATCACCAACGGTAAAGACCCTGTAGTTGTGAACAATGGGAACTTCAGGAACTTTGTTTTCCTGGATTAGCGAGGTGAAGGTTTGACCGTAAAGGGCGGTATAGAAGGCGGGGTTCTTGGTGACGTATATGGCGTTGGCGATGGTGGGGATGGTGGGGGCGGCGGTAGAGGAGAGGGGATGTCTGGGGGAGTCCACGATGGACCCCTCGTGCCTCGGCAGCTCCAGACCCGCCACGCCCTCGTCGTCACTCATCTCAGAGTCGATGATGTACGCCGACCCGTCAGGGTTGTACACGATCTTCCCGTCGAACTTCTCCACATCGCTGGACGACTCGTTGATGGCGTCCTGCGCGGCGGCGGACGCAACACAGTGGTGTCGCGTGTACTGCTCAGCCGACGTAAAGTGCGTGTGGCACGTCATGCACGTCAGGTTGAACGTCGCGGGCGGCGACGGTGCTGACGACGACGAGGAGGTGACGTTGGGTCCCTGCTGCGGGAGGGGCCCTGGGCCCTCCTCGCCCGCCAGGGGGGAGGTAGAGGGGGCGTCCTCGGGACTCATTTCCGGGGGGGCTTGTTGCTGGGGGTGGGTTAAGGTGGGGTCAGGGTGTGGGGGGGCCGGGGGGCATCCCTTCAAAGGTGGCTCTCCCCGCTCCTCTCCTGGCATGGCGGCACGAACACTGCGCCTCCGCTAGTCACAGCCCTCAACCTCCACGCACCATCTGTAAGACAACAACAACAACACCATTAACTCACTACCATGATACCCATATACCTATCACTCACTACCATGATAACCTCACACACCCTTCACTCACTACCATGATACCCCAGACACTCTTCACTCACTACCACGATACCCTCATACATCCTTCACTCACTACCGCAACACCCCATACACCATTCACCCATTACCGGATGAGGCCTGGTCATAGACCGGGCCGCGGGGGCGTTGACTCCCGGAACTCTCTCCAGGTAAACTTCAGGTAACTACCATGAGACCCCATTCACCCTTCACCCACTACCATGATACCCAAACACACCCTTCACCCACTAGCATGACACCCCAGATACCATGATACACCATACAACCTTCACCCACTACCATGATACCCTCACATACCCTTTACCCACTACCATGATACCCTACACACACCCTTCATTAGCACATACCACTGTAGTACCCAATACTTTACCTCACTAGCATTAATATAACCTTAATAGCCTTATTACTAAACACAATTACTGATACCACTCTTCACTGCACCGTTAAGGGACGACCAGTTATCAACCTTACTTTAGTGAGGTTAATAACAGCGTAACTTCGATATATCTTTGAGCAGAGGCGGGGCCAAAAATTCTATACTGGCGCCGCCGGTATAGAAATTTTGGGCTCTTGGAATTTGGGGGTCTGAGGCCCCCCCCTAACTTAGTGGTGTTCCTGTCTTTGATAGATTTCAAGGTTTCCTTTTCCCACAAGCAGCCCTGGGACAGGCATGTCTGGTGCATGCCAGGTCAACCAGACTGTTGCTGCTGGCGGATCATTGGCCCAGTCTAGTTAATGAATCTAGGAAGTACACTAGACATTTTTTTTCTAAAGCCCAGAGATTCCATCCCCGAACCTCAGTTGTGAGAAGCGCGACTCTCACCACACTAGACAGGTGGTATGACCCCAAACACACGGGTTTAGCGCCTCGCATAAAACCTATTTACACTGGCTTGCCGTTATTCTATCCTGAGCAACACAGAACAGATTATTCATTCACTGAGCTATAGTAAATATTAACTATTGCAAATCTTTGTTTTATATTCCCTAACATTATACGTGTGATACTTTTTAACATCAAGATCAAGTCTAACGTAAATCATGTTGTAAGATGTTTGTGTAACGGCACTGTTCACACACACACACACACACACACCACACACACACACACACACACACACACACACACACACACACACACACACACACACACACACACAGATCATGGTCCCAGGACCGAAACGTCCTAGCGTATATACATCATGGTGATATATATATACACTCGATGTGTATGTACTGAGAGAAACGGTGCATGTACACTTGAAGGGGCACATTTCTCAGTGTGTATAACGTATATACTTAACAGTTTTATGGATTAAAATATCTTTAACTGGTGATGAACAGGTGACATAAAAACCATAATTAATACCTCTTTGTGCAGTTGACAAGTCTTGAAGCACAACCAACCAGTGAAGCTGTTTAAGGTTAGGAATACATTACAACAAATAAAATACAGTAGTAAGGATGAAGGCCCCACAGCACCCACACACGATGTAAACATTTAGATATGAACATAAACTCTTCACAATTCCCACAAGATCTCTACCACACACCCGTGATAAAGTGATATAAATCGAACGTGGGAGAAGTGTACAGAAGTTATTAAACAGTTCATAGGGTGAGAGAGAGAGAGAGAGTGGGGGTGAGGGGAGACAAGAAGGCCACCCTAGGAGGTTGTGGGGGTAGTGCAGGAAGGCAGGCAGGCGGGCGGAAGACAGGGCTATCAGATAGCGGAGAGAGCCCCAGAGTGAGCCAGGTGTGGCTACTGCCCTCACTGCCGGGCCGGTGCTCCAGTGATTTTGTTCGCTGATACCGGTTACCTTCCAGGTCCGGTTTAATGAAGGATGGGGAGGGGGAGAAGAATGGAAGGAGGTGTTGGATTTACACCCCTACCAAGCTGCTGACTGTAGAGGACAGGAGGAAGTGTATATATATATTATATATATATATATATATATATATATTATATATATATATATATATATATATATATATATATATATATATATGTCGTGCCGAATATGTAAAACTGGTCAATTAGCAAGAACTCATTTAAAATTAAGTCCCGGAATAACCTCCAGGTAACCAGGTATATACCAATGCATCCACGAAACAAGTGGTTGTTAAGTAAATACTAATACTGCGACCAGCTTCCCGGGAAACTAGGTAAATTTATCGATGCCTTAGCCCACTACGCCACCATAGTACAAACTTTAGTTGCCCAGCGAGTACCCTGGGCATGCCGCAACTAACGCGAGCACATTTGTGACCATGGAAAGCTACAAGAACTAATTTCATTCTCCTCCCGTTTGGATACCGGCCTCACGAGCAGTACGTACACATATTAATACATCCACGACATAAGCTGCTTTTAAGCAAATAACAATACTGCGACCAGTCATTTACGGGAGACGAGGACAGTGGTTATAAAAAAATATCTAAATTGCCCTCTATTGTAGATTATGATGATGTTGGGATGAAATCTCCCTTGTCCCCTGGATTAAGAGAAAAGGGCAGGAGTCTCGGGGAAGAAAGTTGCTTTAGGAAATTGCAACCTCTCCTGTATGTTGTGGAACGGTGATTCCCCTTTCCCTTTCCTACCCTTAGTGCCGCGGGGAAGGAGAAGGCATGAAGGGGGGGGGGGGAGGTGGAATTATATTCCATTAGCAGGGGAAAGTGAGGAGAGAGGAGGGAAGGATGGACAGCCCTAATCACTTAAAACCCCTTAGCTTCTCAACCCTTAGTCCATTTAATTTCTAATTATTTTACAAGTTTAATGAATACGCTATTTTTAAAAAAATCCTGAATAAAGTAAATATGATAATGGGATAGAATACCGACAAGTTGATAAGACACACGTGTATGTTCGGTATAAAGTTACCTGACTGCTATACATGTCTTACTTGTCAACTCCTAAACAAAAAAAGAAAAATTACATATTCCGCCAAACAAAAGAGAAACATATCCAAACGAACGAAAAATTGCCGTAATCAGGTAAGTTTATATTTAATTTAGGCTATAACGTTGTAACGCGTTAGAAAACGAACGTTGCATATACAATATGGGTTGCATATGTTGAAGCTGATGGAACTCCGGGAAAGGGTAAGCCAGTGTGCTAACCACTAGCCCATTAGCTAGTGGCTTGCGTACTGGCTTGCTTGTTTTACCACTGGCTCACCGTGGGTTCGAATCTCGTTCTGTGAATTGTTTATAATGGCGCTGGCACGATTTCGACAGTCAATGATTTTCACTATTGGTAACGTGGATACATGTCAGTGACGAACGTTGTGAGTGACGTGTATATACCTGGAGTATACCTGGAGGGCGTTCCAAGTGTCAACGCCCCCGTGGCCCTGGTCATGACCAGGCCTCATGGATGATAGACCTTGTTGGGTGTGTACCCACGTGTACTTCGAAGGGGAACCCTCTGTAAGAGGAATTCCCGCAGTCGCCGCAGATATTGGTGACTTGTGGTGGTGGCGGCTTGCGGCGGTATCTTGCGGCTGCGGCAAGGCACCGTGCTGTGTCCACAGGAGAACCTCAGTCGGGCAACCTCGGTGGCTGGGCGCTACCATCAGACAATAAATCAACCAAGGTAACTACCACGAAAGGAGAGGAGGAGGGGGGAAAGGAAGATACCTGGGGGAGGGGACGATCAGGGAAGAAGACCCGGAGAGGGCAATCAGGGGGCGGGGAGGGAAAGGGAGACAGGTGAGAGATGGGAATGGGGGACTGTAAAGAAGAAATATGAAAATGGGGGGAAGATATAATAAAAAAAGACGACGATAAAGTAGATGTCTAACAGTGAAAGAAATAATATGAAAGGTGGGAGACGAAGAGGAAGAATGTGTGAAATGTGGGAATGATATCTTTTGAAGAGTAGAGAGGTAGGAGAAAGAGGGAGGAGAGAGAGGAGGGAATGACCACACCCGAATATATATAATCACGGGATGGGGAGAGGAGAGGGAGCGGGGAAGGAGAGGGAAGAGGCAGGGAAAAAGGATGGTGGGGAGAGGAACGAAATGGAAATATGAGGCGAAACGAGAAGAGGGGTAAGAGAAACAAGAATGGAAGGAGAGGGGGGGCAATGGTAACAAGAAAGATAGGAGGGGGAGGTAGTGCGAGAAGGAGGTGAGGGAAGGAGGGAGACGTAAAGAGAAAGAGGTGTCGGAGGGGGCAAGGGAAGGGTGAAGAAGGTGAGGGAGGAGTGGAAGGGAGGGGGAAAGAGGCGGAGGGGAAGGGGCAGGTGAGGGAACGAAGACGCGAGTGTAGTCGCGACTTACGTTGTTGGTAAAACAGGTTGCATTCACATTAACAGTAAGGTTCAACTTTCCCATTGCTCGTTTAATACACTGTTTGGAGGTGGCGTGTGTGTTATGTTGTGTTTTATTTGTGTAGTGTTACTATAAGTGTTGTGTTGTGTGTAACTGTGCGTATGGTGTTACTATACGTGTTGTTTTGTGTTACAGTGTAGTGTTACTATACGTATTGTGTTGTGTGTAATGATGTGTGTAGTGTTACTATAGGTGTTGTGTTGTGTGTAACTGTGTGTATAATGTTACTATGTGTTGTAACTGTGTGTACAGTGTTACTATGTGTTGTAACTGTGTGTATAGTGTTACTATGTGTTGTAACGATGTGTGCAGTGTTGCTATATGCGTTGTAACGATGTGCGTAGTGTGTGTATGCACCGAGTACAGTGTTGCTAAGAGGGGCTGTGTTAATTGTATTTACATCAACATTACGTGAAGAATTAAAGAAATAAAAACGGATTCAGGCTAACACAGACACCCTCATTAGCATGTAAGCAAAACAAGAACATTCGATCTAATTATACTCATGTGATTAACACGATGAGAGAGCGAATGTGCCATCAGAATGATCCTCATGGCAGGA